CAAAGCTTTAAAACAACAATATAAAAGTAGTAGAAGACGTGGTGTAGAAAGTATTCGTTTCTGCTCACAAGAAGATGGTTATAGCTGGTTAATTAGCCAGGCGGTCTGTTCTGGTGCGAGTTTGACGCTTGTAGTTTTGCCAACTGGACCTTTTATTTTAAACAACCAGTGATACCTTTTTAAAAAAGATTGATGGGTTGACTTGTAAAATTCCAGAAAATATAAAAAGCTAGAACAGGATAAATGTGGAGCCCTTCAACACCTGGACACTTGATTTCCAGAACCCTGCCGGACTGTTGAGGATGCATTTTTGAGTCCAGTGCACTTTAGTTTACACACCGTAAATGTAGGTGTCTTTTAGGGAACACTTTTTCAAACAGTAAAGAGAGTCTTATTTTCAGCCAGATTCCCAGCAGTGTGCAGGGAATAGTGTGTAGCAGTGTGTAGAGAGGTGTTGCTTGTTTATTTGTTCTCCACGCAGCTGGAGAAAACATCAGGTTTATTTGTATAGCCCATTTCAGAAACAAGGCGGTTCAAAGTGCTTTACACCATAAACACGTAATACAGTAGCTAATTGTGAAGCGAGTAATAAACATCACATCTTGTCAAATGACATCATCAGCTTTCTTTAGCATCTTATTGAAAGGATTTAAAATCATAGGAACAGTACAGAGAGACGTCTCAGCAGCTTTTGAAACTGTACATTTTCAAAACTTTATATTTGGCAGACACGTGACTTTCAGGTATTACAAACGGCTTGTCTTGGTAATTATTGAAGTTTCACTCTCATCTACACGAGGCTTCTTTTTCCTGAAAGCTTTTTCCATCCATCCATCCAAATTCCTTAATTTATTTTTTTTTTGGGTTAGTAGTTTGACTGCTTGACATGAAAAGTTTAATTATTGATATCAAATTGGTGAAAAAAAAAATCTTGGTGGCATTCCAGATGACTTTGAAGCATTTTGTTTGACATTAACAGTTCTGTCTGGTACAAGTTAGAGAAGTGCGTTTGCGGACTCGATTTGAATAAAGGCAGAAAATAAGAAAACAACTTGTTTAACACGCCTCATATGACTTAAGCTTGACCTAATTACAGATCAATGGGTCTGGAGGCGCTCCCCTCCTCTAAAATTGATCTTTGTTATTCTGAAAACCAAGTTTGTCCTGCTGACCTCTTTGCCGGCTGTTACAAATTCGTTTTGGCCTGTCCGTGTTCACTGTTTATAAAAATGAAAGGTCCTCATCTTTCTGTTTAGCCATCTGTTAATTAAGCTATCTGCTATATTTAGCCTCAGCAGTAATATCAGCTCCAAAGTGGGTGCGAGGAAGGATCAGTCAGCTGGAACGACTGGCCACCAAGTCCACGCTGAAAAAGTATTAGAACGGTTGGATGTAAGAGGTTAGAAATTAACGTGTACGTCTTGAAAACCTAAACCCTTCCGCGGAGAGATATTGCTAAAATGTAAAAATATAACCTTTCAGGAAAACGGTGTGTTTTATATGCCAGTGTTCCAATATCAATATCTGTTTTAAGCAACGTAAGAAAGATTGACGTTTGTCTCCAGCTGAACTTTATTACACAAACACAGTAAGAATAAAGAAAATTAGCCTCTGACATGGTTCTTGTAAAAGCTCACTTTGTTGGGTACACATGGAGACACTAAAAAACTAATTCCAGAAAGTGTGCGTCTGTTTTTCCTTATTAAAAACATTGTTTGCATCATAGCGGTCAGGGCTTTTAGGCGGATGTTGTCTTTTTTTTTTTTTTTTTTTCCCCAGTGCATGTAATGCAAAAACTGCATTAGGCAGAGAAAACACCAAAGCCTACTTTTTCACCAGTTAGCCTCAGGTGCATAAAATTGTTCAGAATTTTTTTAATACGTGGTTTAATGTGCAAGAATAATGTCTGGCGAGAGGGATTGTGAACTTTCGGAAGTCACGCTTCATTGACAAAGCAAGTGTAAAGTCTACCGTGGCCCGCTGATGTGGGCGTTATTGTTTGCTGCATAGTCAAAACCTGATTGAGTCTAAGGGTTACAGTTTTTGTTAGCTTAAAAAAAATAGTTTTAACTAACACCTGACACCGACCCAATCCCTTTGTGATGTGATGTGTTTAGCTTAATGCTGAGAATTCCTTTGGAAATGGGGATCTGGTGTTGGGATATGCGCCGGGCTTTGAGGCGGGATTAAAGTGAATTGAGGGCGTTGGGGATTGGCACATGACCTTCTGAAGCAGAGCTCTACTTTTGGACCAGGCTTATTTTTAGATGCATCGATCAGCCGTTCTGCGGCCGATGCACAGTTCTGCATTTGAGGGTTAACCGGCGAAATTCTCATTGCAATTATTTTTATTCCAAGGACTGCGAAGCATAAATGGGTAAAAATCTCCAACATGTGCCAGTCCAACAGGAAGTGAAAGAGTCACAAGAATATCCCGATTTATGCACAAGAGCATTTATCTCTAACCTTTATTAGGTTTTGCAGAAATGCATCAGTACTTCTGCAAAGTGGGTATGATGTGAGCTCTTGGTATAAATGAATTTAGTAAATGGGGAAATATTTGACATTGTTTACACTTGCATTAAAAAACTGGCCAAGTTCTAGGTTTGCCTACTGTATAAATGTCTCATCTACCTCCATTCTTTGTGGGTTTCAGGGGAACTTTACAGTATAGATGCACCAATAAATCAGAAATGATTGTAAATTCCCCTATATTTTCTATATCTTTCTTTTTCTTCTGCTCATTAAATTAATCAAAATTAAGACTTCCCACCATTTTTGCTCTATAAACACATCAAAGTGCATCTTTTACTTTAATGCACAAATTTGATAAAAAAAAAAAAAGTCAAAAGTTGGGGAATCGAGCTTTGATACATATGTTGAGGATTATCTTTTATTTCCTTCTTTTTTTGTTCATTTTTTTTTACTGCATTCAAATCAATTACCTCTATCAAAAAATCTGCAGTACATTTTCTTTTTTCTAGAATAAAAATTCAGACTCAGCAGTGAGATCAGAATTGTGTTCTAGCCAGGATTTGACACTTCTGTACTCACTACATCTCCATTTCTAGGCCACATTTTGGTGAATGATGGATGATTATTCCATTTAAATTCAGATCTGGTTCAAACTACTAGCACTAATTATTTAGACATTGTGGTTATCAAAATAAAATCTTGACGTAGTTGATACTGGAAAAATGAGTTATTCAGACATACTCGATAGAGTTCAAGTCACAATTATAACTATATTTGCCCAAATTGTCGCCTTAATTTGCTGCAGGTTTTAAACTGAACATGTCGAGAACATCCAGAGAAACATAATATTCTCTTTATCTGACCAACAGCGTTGTTAGGAGGTACTGATGAGGACTGCTGCATGCTAGCTGCGCTAACGCTAAAAGCTAACATTATTGTTTAAACTTTCATTCAATTTTACTTTAGAATGATTCTTTAGTTTTCCCTCTATTTTTAGAGGCAAATGGACAGAGAAATGGCACAAAAGCTCAATATGAGCCAGTATAATAAGCGAATCAATATTTTCCAGAATCTTTTTTTCTTCTTTTTTTTTATCAGATCCCCATCCATATAGTGGAGCACCCAGTTTCTGACAATTAATTTTAAGTGATTAAAAAAAACAAAACAAAAAAAAAAAACGTGTTAGGCTCCTCCTTCCGCCATGCTTTGCACAAGCTCCTGCGTACGCTCGAGTTCACTTACACATAGCGCAGCTGCTCCATGGCCACAGGCAGACAGCCTGCTACATCAACTGCACCATGGGCAGCAAGAGCAAGATGGCGTGTAAGCAAGTTTTTTTTTTTTTTGTACCAAGGCTATATCAGCGGTCTGTCAAAGAATATATGCTTTTTTTTTTTTTTTTCTTCTTCCTTATCCCGGTTTGTGAATAAAACAGAAATAGCGGCTGGCCAGGGAATTAAACTTAATGCTGATGAAGGCAAATCTACTAATTAGTACTTGATCACGCCATTTCTTTAGAGGATTGTATTGTGTGTTTTCGATGGGGCGTGGTGGGATATATATGCATGAGTGTGTTTTGGGACCTTGTCAGCGGACTGGGCCACAAGGGCCCCTGTGGTAATGTGTGTATTAAATGATTAGTGCGTTAGTTAGCATAACGGCCCTTCAGCACCATTTAATCACTCTCAGGGGTGGGCGTCCTCACAGGGGGTGGATGGAAGAGTTTTGTGGTGGTGGTGGGAAGTGTGGGAGGAGGAAGGGGGACTGAGGAGCGAGGCGCACGGTGCAGGAAACTGAGGAGACTAAACTGAGGAACTGCTGGTTGAATGAGTGAGTGGATGATCTGTGGAGAGGCTGCAGGGGGAGAGAAAAAAAAAGAAGAAAAAAAAGAGGGAGAGAGGGCAGGAATCCAACAGCAACATAATCCGGCAATTGCCACACAGTCAGCAAAGAGAGATACAATCGGTACAAGTCTTGAACGTGTTGTTAATGTCAGAATTGTACCCATCGTCTGGAACAAGGCCCGTGAATGGCTATTAATAACAATGCAAAATAAATGTGGTTAAAGGCGGGGCTGAGATCAGCCTTGACAACGCTGTTTTAGATAATTGTTGCCGTTGTTATGTTACTCAGAGCGGAGGAGTCGTCTGGGGCTCACAGTTAATAATCGCTGTGAACTGCCTTGAATTTGCTGCCATTTGCTACACAGGTTTACACGGCCGACATAATTGTATTTTATGAACCGGCAGGCTGAATGACTAAGATGTTACAGCCAGGAAGAGCAGATCCTGTAGCAGAGTTTTGTTTTGTTATTTTTTTATTATTTTTGGGTGGAGAAAGGTGTTGCGGTGCTGTCCTCTGGGTGGTCCTCGGCTTGTTAGAAGATCGTGCTGCTGTTTAAGTGTCTTGTGTACGTTTGCGGTGTCTGCTTTAATGATTTTGTTTTAACATGGATGGTGCTATGCGCAAAAAAAAAAAAAAAAAAACTAGAGCAATAAATACAAATTTGTGTTTTTGGGTTACAGAAAGAACTAGATGCCACCGCCACACAGCTTGCCAACAGACAGGATGAGAGCGAGCAGTCAAGAAAGAAACTCATCGACCTGAGCCGCGAGTTCAAGAAGACGACGCCAGAGGTGAGACGGCTGAACCCACGCTAATCTTTTATGCAGCCATACTTGATAAATTTGTATATTGTTGAAAGGTTTGTTGAGACAAGTAAGTCATATATGACGTCTGAGATTGGAATATTACATCAACTAGTAAGAAAACCCTTCTGATACAGAAATGTGGGATTAAGGAAAATATGTTGGAACAAATCTGGGGAAAAAGTATACTTCAGAAAACTGACGCGTTGGGGAGGTAGCGCCTTTTGGATATTCCCAGAACCACTGGGGGAGTTTTATTGCAGATAGGCGCAAAGCATTTCCCAAAGCAAGAACATTTTCTCACAACTGGCAACTCATTCTCCTGAAACTTTTTAATTTACATTGTCTGAGAGGTCAAAAACCGGGTCATTCCTATTGATTACGGACTGTCACGATTACAAAATTTGCTGGATGATAAATTACCCCATAAATGATTGTGATACTCAGTGTTGTTGTTTTTTTTTACACTATTTTCATGTAACGTATATTGCATTATCATTACAAGTTTGCCCTCTCACAGATCAATAAACTTTAATTTCTGGAGAACACTCTAGACCTAGAATACACTTTAAATATCCCCAAATAAAAAAAAAACAAACAACCAACATCCATAAATAAAACTGAAATATAAACCAAACGCAACCGAAGCCGTAGATATAATCGATTATGAAGTCTCTCTAAACAAAATTGCCCTTCAAGAAATATATTAATCATTAGACTCGGACAGGTAAGACAGGTAAAGCTGCTAGTTGGGACATTAATAATTATCAAGCTCATTTTAGTTTATCGTGTGATTAATTGATTTATTGCTCAGACGTTGAGTGCGTTCTGCCACAGCAGTGTTGGAGAGTGACGTTGGTAAATGGAGTTGTTTTTCAGCAATACAATTATCGAGAATGAAACGATTGCGCTTTATGACGCATGCAATTTCACTTGAAAATTTACAGAAAGGTGTAACTAACATTTGAAAGCGATTTCGCCGAACTAGGCTCCCAGATTTCTCTCTCTGAAAGTGAGAAGAAACAAAGCCCTAAAATTTAGTTTCGACTGAAAGAGTAACTTTCTTTCTTTTCTTTTTTTTCCCCCCTGAAAATATGACAGTTAAAATTAACACAAAATATGAGCTGTAAAGTGACACGACTGTATAATAATGCTCTAGAAATAAAATGAATATTGAAAAGCTTAGCACTCTATATCCACAAAGCTCCCTCTAAAAGTTTGTGGTTTATAAAAATACACTACTTTCCTCCATTTACCCTGGTAAGTTCATTGAAAACAATGGCGGGCTATAATGGCGCCATCAAACTACCCTGGTTACTGGAAAGATTCCCGCGGTTATAACAAGCCTTCGCGTGGTGAATACTTTCTGGCATTTTGTTTTGGTCGTTACCCAGTTTAAAATCCCCCAGAGTTCACATTACCTGTTAATTTTTGTTTACACAGCAAGTGTTTAGTACTTTTTGTTTGCATTCACTAGACTCAAACCTGGTTATTAACTGCAACGCTTCATTGTCTACATTCAGACACATTGATAAAATGAGCTGTCCTTTGTGGAAGTATTCGGAAACATCTGTGGAAGCGGAGTAAACCATCTTATCAGAGCCGGTTGTAGAGACGTAAACTGTAAAATGACTTTATACGCGTTTTAGAACGTAACCACAGTGAAATGATGATTTATGGCTGTAAAACTTTGGCTTAAAATGCTAATTATAGCTCGCTTTTTAAAAAATCTTTGCCCCAAAAGCGAGAGTTTTACATAAATCTTTACTGGCAATATTGTTTTGCTTCTTAGTTGCACCTTTTTCCAAGAGATTTGGAATGACTTTACAAGAAGTTGTAAAGTTTAATCCATTTGACAGAATCACTGGTTGACGTTTTCTTCCTGACGTTTACGTTATTATTTCCACAACGGGAGCCTGTGTGTCTTCCACACACCGAGGCCGAACAAGACGTTGGTCCACACTCCCGAAATAGGAGCGACCCCCTTTCAGCATCGACAGATGCAATTTACATTAACAGCCCGCTTTCTTGGACCCCACACAAGAAACAAGCCTGGGTGAAACGGGACGTTCTGGGGTGGGTAAAAAAACCCTGTTCCGGGCCGCATGGTGGAAACGCACCTTGAGAGTTTGCCCGAGTGTGTCTCAGCATCTGCTTTGTTCATAAACGCCGCTGTGATTATTTGCTGAAAAAAGCAAAGGGGGAGGAGAAGTCGGAGCAGAGAGATGCGGGCTCGTCTCCCAAAAATAGTCCCTCCATTAGTTTCCCTGAAATCCTAAAGAGACAAAACAGAAACCCCCTCAGGAGTTTGTATTATCTGACCTAGTTTTTTATGTGAGCAGAAAGTGTGGTCCCTGAGAGAGAGAGAGTGTGTGTGTGTGTGTGCGTGTGTGTGTGTGTGTGTGTGTGAGTGAGAGAGAGAAAGAGAGAGAGAGAAAGAAAGACAAGAGAAGCAGGAGGGGTAAGGGAGAAAAAGAGTGTGACAACACTACTAAGTGGGATCAGGAGGGAATTCTGTCCTGTTCCTATGTTCCCATCGCTCCTCCTGGGAATATTTGTTTCATCTCTGTTACCAAGGCAACACATTTTAAACCTCGCAGTGAAAACAAAGTATTGTTGTGTTATTATTGGTAATGTCACCATGGTGAATTATTGATGGTGGCATGAATAATGGATGAATGGTGTAGACAGTGGATAGAAAATCGTCAGCTCTCGGCGGAGTTGACAGCAGGCCTATTATAGTTACCACAGGATGAGGATTGTGACGATTGACTCCAGCATGTAGCCTGTCCTGGTGGAGAGGAACTGTAGCTGCACTCCACCTGCACCTCTGAAATAACCAGCAGCACCCAGGAGGCAGTAAGGCGGAAACAAATAAACTTAATTAATCGGCTATTGAAATAATCAGCTAATTTAGTAATTGATCAATCGTTAGCTGGAGAATAAAGACTCAAAAAATGGCCATTTGATTTAAAAAAAAAACAAAACAAAAAAACCCACAACCATTCTGAGCAGCAATTAAGCAAAATGTGTACATTTTACATTTAACCCAGTTCAGACTTACTAAAAGGATGCAAAGGGAAGAAAATTTTCATTTTCTTTAGAGATGCACGATATTGGATTTTTGGTCAATATCCAATATGCCGATGTACTAAAACAAATTTTTCCGATAACCGATACCAATACAAATATTTTTTTTAACTACACCTTCCTAGTGAAACTATATGGCTTTCTCTACTGTGAAATTAAAATACTGTATTATATTTTGTCAGTTTAGCCTGCTACAAAATGCAAATGCTAAAAATGAGGCTGAAATGATGAAATAAATGACTTTTAACTTGATTTATATTTCTCTCTAGACAATGACAACACTAAACAGTACAAATTTGACGTGCTGTGCTGCAGGCATCATTGTCATATAAAAATGACATTTATATCGGTGAGTTATTTTGATGGAATGACCAAAGTTCGACATTAAATTTTACAGCTAATATCGGCCGATACCATACCATAACGATAATATCGTGCATCCCCAATTTTGTTTAAGAATTGCATTAAAACGGTTTGTGATTAGATCAAAAATCTGTAGAGTGTACCTTTTTTAATCCAATTAATCGTCAGATCAATCGATTAATTGATTACTGAACCGATTGTTAGCTGCAGGCCTGCAGAGCACACAAAGGAGCACATAGGCAGATAGCCTCGATTACAGAACAGAACTCACACATTCATCAGTGTAACAAGGCTGTGATTTAGGAAGACTCCTCTGGCGTCTGTGTGGCCCCTGGCATCTCCCTGGTATGTGGAGGAGGAATCCGAGCCAGGCCAGACGAGCGACTGGATTCATTACAGAGCTCTAACGGGCTCAATAGGAATCGGCACTAAAACTCTGCAAGTACCGAAGCGCCGGAGCCGCCTACCAAAACAGGCTGGTTTATAACATGTGATGGCCTGCGCTTGATTAAAAATCTTTGTGTTTGTGAAGTCTTTTTTTTTTTTTTTTTTCCCCCATCTGCATGGCTCTGTGTGTGGTTGACCAGCCCATAGAGGGGGCTGTCAGCTCTCTGTGGTCCACACCAGTCAACGGAGATCACAGTCACATCAGATCAAGACTGCATTAAGCGGAGCGGGAGTCCGTCTCTGATCCATTATTCAGCAACCAGGAGACCGGCCCACGTTGACTGTGTCTGGTCTGCCGAGCTGTACTCGGTGTGAACTGCACTCATGGTCTGCATAATAACACGCGCGCGCACACACACATGTGCATGTGCGCGCTCACACAGCGGCGTTTCTAGCGTTTGGAAAGTAGTGCAAAGAAATGCAGCGTGAAAACAAAGTTTTTATAATTCATTAGAACTGACACACAGATTTTTTTCGCCCCCCTCCTAAAGACTACATCTCACTGTGCTTCCTAATTTGACTGAATTATTTATCTGGTTTTTTAATTTCCTTTCAGTTGAGGCTGTGCTGCTAGTGTTTTTTTTTTTGTTGGTTTTTTTTTTGGAAAAAAGGGAGAAGATGGGGATGATTGGAAAATGCCCCAAAGATTGCTGGCCAGAGGCAGTGGTAGTAAAAGAACACACACACTTGCATGGAGACACACACACACACACACACACACACACACACACACACGCACACGTTTGTGTTTAGCTGCAGGGCAGACAGACAGGGAATGGGAGTTCCATACTCCCTGGAGGATTCCTCAGGCTGGCCTGTCTGCTGTCTGCCGGCAGCTTACACACCAGCCATCCATCTCCTGCTGCCTGGGCCCCTCACTCCCCTTCCAAAATACACACACACACTTGCAGATTGACCATGGTGTCTGTGTGCATTGTTATGTTATTTGGTCATAAATCTTTAGAAGTGGTGGGGGCTGGGGAAGCGGGGCTCCAGAGTGGACCGGAGGGGTTCAGAGCTTCACTGTCCAGCAGAGGTACATGGCTGCTGTATGCTGGGTTAGGTGAATGCGTTTATTTATTTTTCCC